TTGCTTTCTTACCGCCTCCACACTTCGCTTCGCATGCCTCCTTGGTCTCGAAGTTGTTCGCATTTCCTCTGCACCCACCGTAGGTGAATTCAACACATTGACCCTTCGAGAGGTCATAGGTCCATCGGCGATAGGCTGCGCGACAGGGACCAACTTCCTTGGGCAACTTGCACACTGGGTCCAAGGTCTCGTCATTTGAGGCAGGTATTGGCATTGGTATATTGGCTGGTGTGGGAAGAAGGCACTCAAGTATGAAACAGCCATCGCGAAACTAACGCAAGCAGTTCATGAACTGATGTGTAGGTAGCAATGCGTCGCATTGCAACAACACATCATTATTTGGCCTAGTGTCGTTACGGTGCTCCTTAAACTGTTGCCATTTTCTCCGTTGTTTGTGCATCAGTCATGACGTTACAGTGGACAGTTGAGAACGCATCTGAACAAGATGGTTTTAGGAATAATGCCTAGTGTCTTTATAAGAAATGGTCACGTGACGGCTAACAGTCAGACGAACCGATCATTCGTTCTATTCGGTGTGATAGAGCGGGTGATCTGTAAAAGTTGCATTACAGGCAAGCAGTCTCTTCGAAATTATTCGCTGTTAAATGCAGACCACTGGGCCTAGGTGTTGAGCGCAATCAACCAACGAATACCGATAACACGTTAACCTGCCAAATATGACCTAAACACATACCTGCCATCACCACTTGGACCAATTCGTCGAGACGATTGCCCTCAATTACACAAGACTGGAGGCAATGTGGGAATAGGCATATAAATATTGCGCATCAAGGAAGCGTGGCTTCAAAAAAGACGAAGGCACGTGCCACGGTAGCAGATGATACAGTCCTAACTGCTGGAAACACCAAAACACTACGTACCGAGGCATCGTTGCTCACAGGCTTCCTTCGTTTCGAAGTTGTTGGCGTTGCCACCACAACCACCGTAGATGAATTGCACGCATCTTCCTTGACTGGCATCGAACCCCCATCGTTGGAAGTAGGCTAGACAGTTGCCTTGTTCGAGTGGTAG